ATTTTAAGGAAAGAAACCTGCCGTGGAGATTCCTTCCTTCGGATTCCATGTGGAGGAACACCTTGTTTTATTAAAATGGTGGGAGGAGGGAGTTTTCTACACTAACGAGTGCTAGTAGCTAAAGCGACCTAACTCAAGCCTTGCCGTGAATTTTGAAGCTCTTCCAAGACATCTTGTGCCTTCCTCCATCCCCTCCCCTTCCTGCTATTTTGCAGTTATGTCCTCTAGGGAATTGTATGGCAGGAAGATGTGATTTTCTTTAGTTTGCCCTGGATTCCTGATTTGCACAGCACCTGGGTCCAGCCCGCAGCCCTAGGGTTCAGGTAAGCACATGGGGAGGGGATTTCTTCCCCTTCAGGTTAAGGCTTCTGGTCCTAAAACAGCTGTTATAATGTCAGTGAGAGTTAATCTGGCCTCATTTGCAAAATAGATGTCTTACAGAGTTTCGGGTAGTAGGAAGGGGAGTGGGATGTTTCAAAATTCATTCTTAAGAGGGTAAATAAGGGCTGGGGCTATAACTCAGTGGCAGAGCACTTGCCTAGCATGTATGAGATACTGGGTTCAATCCTTAGCACCACATAAAAAATAATTAAAGCCATTATGTCCACCTACAACTACCAAAAAAAATTTTTTTAAAGAGAATAAATAGGAGAGAAAAGCAGATCTTGAAAAATTTTTAGAACTCTGCAAACCAGCTGAGAGAAAAAGAGAAAAACCATACAATAATGTCCATAAAAATAACTGACCTTTCAGGAGAGCTTTCTAGAGAAGCTTGCAGGCTAATTAACACAAATATTAATGTGTACATTTTTTACATTTATGGCTATGCTAGTGTAGTAAATATTCTCAACATATGTTGAAGAGGAAATATAAAATATACAATGCACAGAACACATGGAAGAAAATATAGTCAACAGAGGCAACTTTGAGATATTTAGATTCTTTGGCTGCTAAATGTGGGAGGGATGTCGGGTGTTAGTTCATCTCTCACATTTTATGCACAAGGAGGCTGAGATTCTGGAAGCAGGGGCTTGGAATCCCAGTAAAAATCACTCAGCTGGTTTCTGGCAGATGTGTATTAAGTCAGCCTTTGGGGAGAATAGGATTTTTCTTTTTAAAGTGTAAAAGAGTAGTATTTATTCAAGTGAGAAGAAAAGAGACAGAGCTCCCAAAAGGCAAGTGGGGGCCCCAAAGAGGCTTCCCAGAAGTAAGAATCTTGAAGAGTGAAAACCTTTAACCTTGGCTGTGAATCAGAAAATTAATCAGGAGGGCCACTGGATAACCCTGTGTCAAGAGACTCAATAGTGAGAGAGAAATATAGGTGATAGGAGAAGAGACTCAAAAGTAAGACATTAAGTCAGAACCTACTTTATTTGGGACTAAAAACAAGTAATCCCAAGTCCCTTGCAGTCTGTGTCCCTTTGCCCCTTCCATGTCAGAATACCAAGTCCAGACCACAGCATTCAGCAGGTGGCTGCACTATGGCTTGATGCTTTCAGATTGCTCACCTTCATCAGGCAGTGACTGTGCCTGAGGGTCTGTGTGCCATGTGTCCTCAGCCACTCTGAGCCTTGGGCTGACTGCGGGTGGACACAAGCCCTCCTCACTTCTGATGAGAGGCCAGACCTTGGGCAGCTGACGCTTTGCCTTAGTCAGCATGTGGGCTTAGTTGTCAAAGATGGGGTGTAAGTGCAAGACTCATGCACGGAATCTAGGATTCTTCCTATGCCTAAACTGTTGCCCTCCTTGGGGAGTCCACCATGGCCCACCACCCTGTGTGCACCCATCACAGGAAAAGGAAAAGAACCCAAGGAATGACACACCCCTTCCCCTTTCTGTAGTCCACAATTGCACACATCATTTTGCCATTTCCATTGGCCAGAATCTGGTTTCATAGTCAAATCCAGGCTGCAAGGGAGGCTGGGAAGTGCAGTCTATTGGGGGCAGCCAGAAGCCCAGCTGAAATTGCTATTGCCTGGAAGAAAGTGAGAGGGATGTTGGAGATAGCCAGCGATCTCCACCCAAAGACTGACAGAGCTCCGATTCAACACCCAGACCCCTCCTGAAGGGTTGAAGGGTTGTGGAGACACAGTGGGAACTAAGATAATATTTAATTCATTCACTCATTCTACAAATATTTGATGGTGGGGTATCAAAAATAATGAAGTGAAAAGATGGAGTCACTACCTTCAAAAAGTATTAAACTTGATTGGTGGTTACTAATTGGTAACCACCTAGGTGAGGTATGGAGAGCACATGAGGTGTAGGGGTGCAGCCAGAGAAGAGAGAGAGTGTGTGAAGCTGCTCACAGGGAAAGATGGGAGACTTAGAAGGGGTCCTATCCCCAGTGCCTTCTGGAGAAAGACCAGACAGGAGTTCAGAGCTGAGGGTGATCACTGAGGTTGAACTAATGAAGCGCTCTGAGCATTCAACCCATAGTTTTGTGAGAGGCACAGATGCCATTTTTTTTTTCAAAATAACATTAATAAAATTTCAGGTATATATACTTTTTTGTGTGCAAACCCTCAATGTTCTACATCAAAGCGCAAGCCCTCATCTAAATTTTTAATATACTACCACAACTTTTTTCATTGGTTATTTGGGAGCAAAGTGTGTTCGATTAAAAATATCCATTGAAGTTTGTCTGTGTGCTAAGCACAGAGCATAAGTAAGTTAGATGTTTTCTGCCTTAATCAGCATGTGGGCTTGGTTGTCACCAACTATGCAAAACTCAAAAGAATTATAGAAGGACAAATATTTACTTTTACGTTAATTCTTCTCTAGCTGGTAAACAAAATGGAGTTTTTCTCACTTGACACCTTCATGATCTTATGATCTTTTCTGCATTGGAGTGATAGAACACACCAGAACCTATGGAACACTTCGAAGGCAATTTAACAGGGAAGTTTATGAGTGGAATAACTTGTAATGCACAGACTCCCAACAAAGCCTGGTTACTGGAATTAAGATTTGACTCCTATCATCAGTCACTTCTGAGTTACACAAAAGATGCAGGTGCAGGTTATTCATGGATTCGGCTCCAAGGAAACACAAGTCAGTTTCCAGAAATGCCGTAAGTTTGTGACTTCGAAGGGAAACATCTGTATTTCCTTTTCCAAAAAATACTCTTAGCCTTAGGCTGGGCCCCGTGATCCTTAGAGACTTCCACAAGATGGCGGTATAGTCTTTTGTTTGGCAGAAGCTAGTTATTTTGAATGACTGAATCTAAGCATCTTTATTTAAAAAATACTTACCTAGAAATATATGTGTAGTGCTATAAAAAGTTTTTAAACAGGAAAATATCCCATAACCCCACCATTTCTAGAAAAAATGTTTACCTTTAGTTTAAATAAAAATATCTACCTTTAGTGTACCAATATGCATTTATTGGTTTATACCATTCTACTTCCTACATCACCTTCTGTTTCTACATGTTATTTAGTGTGCACCTTTTAACCATTGTAGATAAGGCTTTGGTCATCTCTGTGTTTGACACACAGATCTTGGATCATGATGAAGAATTTTAGAGATGGGTCACAAATAAGGGTGTCTTTTGCTTTTTACCTTTCCAAAAGGTTGGGCAGATCTACATTGCTGTCAGCAGCACATGAAGATCTGAGTTATGACCAGCTGCACTAACCTATGTGTTCATTTTGCTTTAAGTCCTAAAATACCTACCATGATAATATTTGTTTCATTTGATAAGTATTTGTTTCAAGTTTAATACTGGGTACTGAAAATATAACAATGTGGGAAATCCTGTCAGGTGGGGAGCCAGAATTTTAATCCTACAGGTACATTTTACATCAAATGTAAAACCCCTACCATGATAGGTACCGTGGAAGAGAGGCACATGAAACCATATGCACTTTCCTGTGGAGGTTGGATTTTGTCAGGAGGTCCCATGAATTTGAGTATCCATCCACATTCCTGCAGGCGCTTATATAGTCTGTTCCCTTTGTTTGGAACACTCTTCCAAGTTATCTCTTCCTCCCTTGTTCACAATTCAGCCCCTTGAGGTTTCTTTGTCTTTGCTCCTGATGAGGTTCGAAAGCAATCAAAGATCTGGGGCGGAGGGGGGGGGCACCATTTATACAGAAAAGGACTTGAAAACGCACTTCTCCCAAATTGTGTGACCTTTTGTGTGTGTGTGTGTGTGTGTGTGTGTGTGCATGCATGTGCACATACACACATATGCGTGTGAGCAGATCCTTCATGGATCTACATTCAAAGAATATATTTAATCACAGAAGGACTACTCGGAATGCTTTACTTTTTTCCTTTTTCTTTTTTTCTTTGAGACAGGATCTCACTAAAGTGCTTAGTGAAAAACCTCACTAAATTGCTAAGGTTGGCCTCAAACTGGGATCCTCTTGCCTCAGACTCCTCAGTTGTTGGGATTATAGGCATGATCCATTGTGTCCACCTAATTTTTTAATTTAGTATGTTATTGTGGTAAGATATATGTTAACATGAAATTTATCACTTTAACCATTTTAAGTGCACGATTTAGTGGTATTAAACCATGTGGCATTATCATACAACCATCACCTCATCCATCTATAGAACTTTTTCATCTTTTCAAAGTGAAACCCTGTACCCATTAGATACAAGTTTCTGATTCCCCCTAATTTCCCCAATCCCTGGAAACCCCTGCCCTACTTTCTCTATGTGCTTTACTAATTTAGATGCCTCCTAGGAGTGGCTCAGACAGAAATTTGTTTGGCTAGCTTGTTTTTGCATAGCATAATATTCTCAAGATTCGTCCATGTTGTGGCATGGGTCAGAATTTCCTTCCTATTTAAGACTGAACATTATTTCATTGCAAGCACGTACCACCTTTTGTGTGTCCATCTACCCACTGATGGGCATGATGATTTTTCCCACTTTTTGGCTATTATGAACAATGGTATTCTGAACATGAGTTCTCAGTTCAAATCTCTGTTTTCAATTTATTCAGAAATATTCCCAGAAGTGAAATTGCTGGATCAGATAGATGGTAATTCTACGATGGCTTTATTGTTTATCATGTGCTTTTTTTCATGTACATTATGATCAAATTTGGTCTTTTCATCGGCCCTGTGAGTAAGCATTCTTCTCTGGCTCCAGGAAGTGGTTTTATAGATTGGATACAAAATGTCCCTCAGAGGTCATGTGTTGAAGGTTTGGTCCACAATGCAGTGATGGTCAGAGGTGGGGCTCTCGGGAAGTGAATTGGATAATGAGGACTTTGATTTCATCAGTGGATAAATCCACTGGTGTACTCTTAGCTGATGGCATTGTTAGGAGGTAGTAGAAGCTTCAGGAGGTGGGGCCTAATTGAGGAGTAGGTCATGGGGGGGGAGTGGTGGGGGCATACCCTAGAAGGGTATTTCTTATCCATGGCCCCTTTCTCTGTCTCTCCTTCCTGGTTACCTTGAGGTGAGCATGGCCTTCTGCCATGTTTCTGCCTTGCCACAGCAGTGAAGCCAGGTGACCTTGGACTAAGGATTCTGAAACCATGAGTCAAACAAACCTTTCTTCGTGAAGTTGGTTTTCTCAGGTATTTTGTCACAGTGACAAAACTGAAAAGATAAATAAAAGAGTATCCTGATCTCAAACTTGGCTTCCTCATTTATCATCACCATTAAGAATGATCCTCATTACTTGTGTTCCCTCCTAAAGACAATGTGTTTTCCTGATTGCAACCACTGTGGTCAGCTCCCAGGTTTCTACTCTCATCTGCCCTGACCATACTGCCCCTCGTCTGAGTAAGGATGGGCCCATTTCCCACTGCAAAGGAGCAGAGTCTGTGTTCATAGTACCAGTGACCAAGGTTTCTCCTTTTCTCTTTCCGTTTCTGTCTTCTAGCTCAGACTCTGTCATCTGGACCATGAGGATCTGGTGGTTGCTGCTTGCCATGGGAGTCTGTACAGGGAGCGTAAACTCACAGGACACGTGCAGGCAAGGGCACCCTGGCATCCCGGGGAATCCTGGTCACAATGGCCTGCCTGGGAGAGATGGAAGAGATGGAGCCAAGGGTGAAAAGGGGAATGCAGGTACTCACCACCTGGTGGCTTTCTGCTGCCCTCCATTGATGCCATCAACCCCTTATCACATCTGTGTTTGTTCTCTGTGTGGTTTCCCGGTCATCCACTGAACCCTCATCATTCACATGTCAAACACTTATCAAGAGTCCTCTCCTGTCAGATTCTGTGCTGGGTGCTGGAATGGAGTGAGGACTAGGCTGACATGGCCCTGCCCTCATGGGCTTCTCATCCCCTGGGGATACTGTTTGTTAGCCATTGTCTCTGATGTTATAGGACATATTCAGGAGTATACAACGTCATCAATCTTCCTGCCTTAGCAACGCTTATGACACATCTTCAGTAACATGAGGCCAATAGAGAGGGCTGATGGCTAAATACCACAGTCCCATATTATTCAAGGAAGTTATGTTCCAAGACCTCCAGCAGGTTTTAGCCAATGAGTGGCTAAAACCATAGACAGTACAGAATATTATATATACTATGTTTTTTTTCTATGCAGATATACTTACGAAAAAGTTATCTATAAGTTAGGCACAGTAAGACATTAATAATAGCTGATGATAAAATATAACATTTGTAACACTATACTGTAATAAAATTGCCAGCATCACTACTCTTGCCCTTAGAGGACATAAAATAAGGGTTACTTAAATATAAGAACTGTGATCCTGAGGACAGTCAATCTAATAACTTAGATGGCCACTAAGTGACTAATAGGCAGGAAGCATACACAGGGTAGAAAAAGGGATGATTCACATTCTGACCAGGATAGAGTGGGATAATGTGAGAATTCATCCTGCTACTCAATATGGCATGCAATTTAAAGCTACACATTGCTTATTTTTATATGGAGGCCTGACAGTTTATTGAGTGGGCGGGGTGAGGCTGAAGTTTACCAGGAGGCAACTTTATTCCTTTCCAACCACCACCATGCAAATATACTCTGTGAAGTCTTCTCTTGGATAATATCTCTGGAAAATCCATGCTGTTTTAGTCACATTTAGTCATTAGACCTATCTCATTTCTGGGTAGCAGAAAGTCCAGTGCAAGTTAATAGGAACACTTAAGTCTTAATGAACCCAATTATTTTACTCTCCCAATGGGACCACAATAGTGTGTTTGTTTTATTTTTTAACTTATGGGGTTTAAATTTTTATTTTAAAATATTTTATATACACAAAAGAGATGGATGATACATAAGAAGGAATAAGGTAAAACATACAACCAATACCAAGTTTCTTTCTTCCCTATTGAATCTCTTGCATTTTTCTTCAGTTGTATCCATTCTTTCTAGTTTTACATTTTCTTAGAAGTATATATGTTTTATATATTTTCCATATATATATTGCATATAACGTTATTTCTTAGAAAAATATTTAATCATATTGCTCACACTAACAATTCACATATTCTTTATCTTTTCCTTTTAAATTGTTTGTATGCTTTATAATGAATGCATGTTTAGTACATGACCTGTTCACAATTCAGATGCACATATATGTGCATTGGTGAGGTCCCCATTCATGTTTTGTTATTTGAGGTTGTGTGATTAAGAAAGCTTAGCGGTCACTGCTGGAGAGATGGCAAGAATTGAGAATTAAGCAGGGAAACAAAAGAGAAAGACTTATGGCTGGGGAGGGAGAAGAGGAGAACAGGAAAGGAATTAATGTAAGGATGACTCCCACTTGGAGGTCCCACAGTACCCAGGGCTGTCTTGGGAACATTGGCTCTGGGCTGCTTGGAGTCTCTCGGTGACCGCAATCATGAACATCAGTGTCTCCAGCCACACATTTCTTTCTCAACCTTCTTTGCTGCTCACGTGTGGCACATCTTACAAGTGGGTGCTTGGGAAGTGCCCTGATTCAATATAACTCATTCATCTAACACAGATAAGAGGCCCAGATGCTCACTCATGCCTGCCTCTCTCCACCCCAGGAGACACCCCCAGCACTCTCCTCCTCACACCACCCATGGAGGCCAGTGGCCAGAAAAATCAGATTTGGAATTTCAACTCATCTGTTTTCTTCTTTTCCACCTAGGAGAACCAGGACATCCCGGTGGCCCAGGGAAGGATGGAATGAGCGGGGAGAAAGGAGAACGAGGTCAGAAGCTGGCTTCCTATTAACCATGCTCTAATGTGGAACTAACACGATTTCACCATAGCTATTATGTGCTTGCTACTATGGATGAGTCCTTATGTGGCTCTGAGGATGTCCCAACAACGGAGGCCATTCAGTTCTTGCTCTCCAGAAGCCCACAACGAGCACAGGGATCCGCAAGCTTTTTGTGTAAAAGGCCAGATAGTAAATATTTTCAGCTCTGCATCGTGTCTGCTAAACTGTGCCATTGTCGTGAAAGGCAGCCATAGACGCTACATAAATAAGCGTGGCTGTGTTTCAGTGAAGCTGTGTGTATAAAGACTGAAATTTGAGCCTCATAATTTTCACATAGGACAGAATATTATATTTGACAATTTAAACCCATAAGCCATTCTTAGCTTGTGGGCTGTTACAAAAACATAAAGGCAGATTTGGCCAATGGCAGACAGTCTGATGAACCCTGACTTACTGGATAAGCACCAAGGAAGAAGAATTTGGACTCAGTGCCTCTGGCCCCACTGCATGGAGAGGGTGGCCCTGGAATTGGGATGAATGCTGGCAGTTGGCAACCGATGGAGAGAAAGATGGTTCTCTGTATCTTGTTCTAAGTGCTTCTCACGTATTGACTCAGTGGCTACAAGAGCCCTGTGAACTTGGAAGCATTACTGTCCTGATTTCATAGATGAGAACAGAGGTGTAGGAGGTTTACTCATTGGCCTGACATCCCATGAGCACAAGGGATGGAGAGAGGATGGAGTCCTGGCATTGACCTCCAGAATCCACGCTTGCAACCACTATGTTCCCTTTGGGGCGGAAGCAACTCAGAAGCACCAAGCATCTATAGAATAAAGAAAACCATAATACAACTGGTAGAATGAGCAGGCTGGGGCTGGACATTAGAGACGGATGAATGCCATACTCAAGACTTGACTTTGTGTCACAAGAAATTTCTTAGGGGGGCATCACTTCACTAGGTCTGAGCAACTGTTAACTAAGTATCCTGAATCAATCTGCTGTTTGCAGTGCTGCCCTGCTCTGAAGAGTGTTTCTCTTAATGTTTGGCCTTGTTTCATGGTCAACATGGTGGACTTAGATGGTAAAGGGTTATCATTTCTCGTTTAGGAGACAGGAGTCAAAAGGTGTTTTGTGTATGAGAGTGTACATGCATGTATGTGTGCCCACATGCCTGTAATTGGGGAGTTCATTAATTTCTAAACCCTGAGCAGATACTGAACCTCAGCACTACTCCATCTCAATTAAATGTTCAATAACAGAAAAGCCAAAGTTGTTCACAAGGGAATATTTAACAGACCATTTCTTTTTTTTTTTCTCTTCTTCTATTCAGGAGCAGATGGAAAAGTGGAAGCAAAAGGCATCAAAGGCGATCAAGGCTCCAGAGGATCCCCAGGGAAGCATGGGCCAAAGGGATCTGTTGGACCCATGGGAGAGAAAGGGCTCCAAGGAGAGACTGGCCCTCAGGGGCAGAAGGGGGACAAAGGTGAGGTGGGTCCCACTGGTCCAGAAGGTCTAACAGGCAATGAAGGACCTATGGGCCCCACTGGCTTACCTGGCCCTGTAGGTCCCATTGGCAAGCCGGGTCCCAGGGGAGAAGCTGGACCTATGGGACCCCAGGGTGAGCCAGGAGTTCGGGGAGTAAGAGGCTGGAAAGGGGATCGAGGAGAAAAAGGAAAAATGGGTGAGACTCCAGTCTTGCCAAAGAGTGCTTTCACCGTGGGTCTCACAGTGCTGAGCAAGTTTCCGCCTTCCGATGTACCCATTAAATTCGACAAGATCTTTTATAACGAATTCAACCATTATAATGTGGCGACGGGGAAATTCACTTGCCACGTGGCTGGGGTCTATTACTTCACCTACCACCTCACTGTTTTCTCCCGGAATGTGCAGGTATCTCTGGTCAAAAATGGGGTAAAAATACTGCATACCAAGGATGGTTATATGAGTTCTGAGGACCAGGCCTCCAGTGGTATGGTCCTGGAGCTGAAGCTTGGGGATGAGGTGTGGATGCAGGTGACAGGAGGAGAGAGGTTCAATGGCTTGTTTGCAGATGAGGACGATGACACAACATTCACAGGCTTCCTTCTCTTCAGCAGCTCATGACACAGAAGACTGTACATCTGCATCACCATTGGTCAGAATTAGCTTTTATAATCCCTAAGATTATTGTAATCATCTTTAAAAGGTGCAAATGGGGAAATCACTTGTAAAAATGGTTCTGTGTCACTTACAATATTCCAAAGAGTAAATTTTTAAATAGTTGCCCTGTTTTTTTTTTGTTGTTGTTGTTATTGTTTGTTTGTTTTTGCAGTACTAGGGATCAAACTCAAGGCCTTGTGGATACAAAGCAAGCAATTCACTCCTGAGATACATCTCCAGCCCCTGTTTATTATAATTTATTTAACGTTTTTCATCACTCCCATGATTGGGGGAACCCCTCGCGTGTTTCTGATAGGAAGAGCACGGCTACCACTCAGAGTTCTAAGGAGATGTATGATGATTTAGTGCTCATCTATGCTTCTCAGGACATCAGTGAGAAAGAAAAGTAAGCTCTGTGGTAGGGCACTTGCCTGGCGTGTGTGAGGCCCTTGGTTCCATCCCCAATATAACACACAAAAACAATGCTTATTCCACTTAGTGCTGATCAGAGCTTTAGGCTGATGACAATGAAATCCCAGAAGGCTGCAGATACTTTGCTTACTTTCTAATTTAGGTTTTCAATGCTACTCAATCCAACTGTAATGTCCACAGCCCAGGAGAGCGAAGGCAGTGGAAGAGCTTATGGAGAGGCCAAGAAAGTCATCAGAGATGGGATAGGAGGCAGAAAGTTTACTCAGAAATGCTTAT